AATAAGCTGCTCTCTTTGAAATGCCCTTTTTTGCATAAGTACAGTCAGTCATACATAGCTTCACCACCTCATTGCTCTGCTGGGTGGGAAGACCACCTTTCATTGGCTCCTGTAACAAGAGTTGGCAAGGCTCATTCTCTCTTGCTACCTGCCCATCCTTCAGAGGGTGGGCTTCAAATTTTTGACCTTGCAAAAGTGACATGTGACTACACATTTTTGACTTTAGGGTTCTCTGAGAATATTAAGTCCATTGATTCCAGAGAGTTTCTGAACTTACGTTTTTGCTGTAGCATTCTAGCACTAACACATTTCTAAAGGTATCCTATGAATACCTTCATCTTTGCTCCTACTTAGATTTGTCTGCATGTTCATCTGATCTTACGACACTGAGTGCATGTGTGTGAACATATTTTCCTTGTGCATTATCCAATATACTCCTGAATATTCCAGACCACTTAGTGATTTAGCACACCCAGCAGAGTGCCCGGTAGAGGAGACACATGATAAATTTCCTTAACAAAGGTATTTTTCCTCTGGGATATTTTTATTTTTCCTGTTTATTAGAGTAATTTGCCATACATAGTAATTGTACCCATTTTGGGGAGCAGGTACAGGTACGTATCTCAATTATTTTATTTTTCCTTGCCCTCCCGTTTCCCTCCACCCTTAGATCCCCTTTCCATCTCCACAGTGTCTACTTCCCAGACTGTCTTTCATGGCATTTCGGCCTCAATCTCCATCTCAGTGCACCCAGGGGTTGGGGTCAGCACTACACACCGGGGATAGAACCCCCAGTCCCTGCATCTGCCTAAGCAGGCACTTTAATCTGCTGAGCTATCTGGCTGGCCCTACAGTGATTAAATTTGATGAGTTCAGATTTTGTTGTTGTTGAAGTAATAGAAATTGAAGAGCCTAACTAAAGGAAAACAGTGGGGGAGTCCATGGTAGCACTCAGCCCAGAAAACTCTTTAAGAAGAGTTAAAGGCAGGGCTGCCAGAAGAGAGGTGCCAGGGCTCTTGGAGCCTCCAGGAACATTCCTTCTCCTGCCTCTCCCTTCCTGGCCTCTGCTCATTTGCCTTGCTTCTCCTGTAGACAGTATCTTACCACATACGGAACACCTCCACTCTGGCATCTCTCAGCAAAGGGAGAACATCTTCTCTTCTCATACAACAGCCCTAGGAAGGTCTCTTATTGGTCCTTATGGGCCATGCACCCACTCCTTGGGTCAAATGCTAGGGAAAGTAGGACACTATTCTGTGATTGGCAAGGCCTGCATCATGGACATGCACTTTGAACCAGTAAAATGCAGCCCTGTTCTAGAAAGGTCACAGAGAAATGCGTAAGACAACAAAAATTATTACCAAGATTGTTACCCTGAGATACCCAGAAAATAATTCTGATACACCATAGGAAGCACTGAGTTTAAGCTTAGCCTATGTGATGTGATCTAGATGACTTTCTGGCTGCTGAGTCTATGAATGAGCCACATACTATTAAAAGAAAACCAGAGGAGAGTGATCAATGATGTAGAGTGTGCCTAAGGTGAGTCACATGGAGAGTCACATTCTCTCAGGCTTTCACAGAGAGCAAAATGGTCAAGCAATGGCTGTGACTCATCCACATGGATGACAGGGGAGGAGGACAGGGATCTACAAACTGCAGCACAGGGTTTCAGGATAAGTCCTGAGGGGATTTGACTGAACTTATTAGACACAAAGGCTACATTTCTTGTTGTATACATCTTGCTTTGTCTTGCTCTTAACCATCCAGCAGAAAAGTATAAAAATGAAGTATAAAAAGTAAAGCCATGTTGATATGCTGAGCTGTAAAAGGCTCAAATCAACAACTTCTGACATTGCCAGTCTTATGGAAAACCCACTGCTATTATGGACTGCTGGACTATATTGGAATATTTTGCTGAATTCATGCACCTATAATATTTAAATGACAATGGAATAGCCTTCTCTGACAAAACTAAACAAAAAAGGGGGATACAAATGAACGACCATTTTGTATCTGTATATTCAAAATAGGATAGATATACTTCTACATTCTCTTGATTCAATGAATAGAACAATTTGTTCTAATGGTGTTTGTAAACAGGATGTCATGTCTGCATCTTGTACAATGAATGGCCACTAAGACAACAATATGCAATGTATTGATTGTTGGGGCTATCCTTCTCATTGGATTTGGAACTGTCTCATGGCTATTTGTTTCTCAATAAAATTATTGAAAAAGAAAAGAAAAATCAGGGGCCAAGGAGATAGCTGAGCAGCATAAGTGCCTGCCCGAGCAAGTGCAAGGTC